GCCTCGGTCATCATTACTAAAGTCAGTACGTTAAACAGCATAGTCTCGATTATCCATTTAATCGTTTAATTGAGAAGGAAAGTTTTGCAGTAAATAGGCTCATAATCCACTAAACATCGCAGGCTAGGGATGCCATCTAGCGTTGATTATGGTCTGGATAGGTTAATTAATGTCTAATTAATAATTTAGATAACATTTCAGGCCTAAAGAAAGACCTGCAATAGACAGATTTAGCTCTTGCATAATGTATGTTTAACGACACTACACTTTATGTGGAAAAGCGAAGTGCTCGCAGTAAATACCAAATAGCTGGACCCGTATATTATTTACATGTTAAAAGTGTTCGTCCAATAAGTTCCATATTGTAAAAAAAGTTCAAGACTTCAAAGTTTAAAAGTTGTAGGCACTCTAAATTGGATCTTAAATTAAAATGAATTACAAAAGAAATTATTCCGTAGTCAATAGTTTTATTTAATTAGGGGGATTAAGGAATCCTTCAGGCGTTAAAGAATACACACGCCGGCTGTATATAGGTAATTAAGGAATAAACATTCCGAATATGCATTCTGTCACTGTGACGTCACTGGCGCCTGAGAGGATTAAGAGTGTTTTTTCGATAATTGGCAAAGTCGTTTTTACGGGAGGTCTATTTTTACGACTTTGAGTGAAGATAGCTGAATTAATTTCAACCAGATTGGCGTGAACTTGCCGTAAAGTGGATATAGTAACCACTAGCTACACGCATTAAAAAGTTTTTCCCCCATCTTATGTGCACTTTAAATTTAATGTAAAGGCCCATGACCCTGCTGTTGAAAAATGTGTAGAATTTGGATTCTAAAATATCGGTATAAAATTTAATATCAAACACAACGACCCTGTACGTGACACTATTCCATTATTAACCATGTGCAGAGGATGCCTTTATCACATCTAGACTAATTTACGCTAAAAATGATATTTATAAAATACTCTTTTGACCAAATTGTTTTCTTTTGTCAAATTGTCCAGTAAATTATACATAAACTTTATTCTAATAATATTGAAACACATATCTTTATTTTCTAAGTATTAATGCTCAGTAAATGACTTCATCTGTGGTCAAAGTATGAAATACTTAAATAGCTCTTCTGAATAATAGATTGCTCCTCCATTTTGAGTTCAGAAAAGCACTGAAATTGTGACCTCTAGAATGTCCACAAGCTAACAACATTATCTTTCGTATTATCAGGGGTCATTATCCATAAACTTACGGTCCGATACATGCCAATATTGATAGGAATTGAGATCTTTGGAAAATAAATTTATATTTCAAGTTTCTTCAAAATCGGATAAAAACTGTGACCTCTAGACTAGAGTGTCCTCAAACAATTTGTGGACGGATGTCTGGACAACAATAAACATCCACATGTAAATTTGTGCATATAAAAACTCCCTCATAGCGCACCACATAGCATGTGTCCTCATTAGCTCGGTTGGTGCAGAACCATTGGACATTCCCATTCATTTCATTCATTGTCCCCTGCTTTTCGAAGGAAGCAGGGGACTGTAAAAATGGGTTTGTCCGTCTGTCCGTCACACTTTTTGGGACACAATAACTCTACTTCTAATTAACCCTTTCATTGCGTCTACCTGGTAGTACCGGGTATTATAAAATGTTGTTAAAATGCGCGTACCCAGTATTACCGTGTACTCAGTAAAGCCCTCGCTAAAATTAGTAACTGCAAGTGCCATCTTTTGTATTTTCTATACACTAGAACATATTTCCACGTGTTTCAAAGCGGCAAACCGTAAAATGGCGGAGAGCATAGTGACAACGTAGATTATGCACTTTCGACGAAGTCGTGAATGATGTCTTGCTGATCAACACGTGGACAATTTCGAGGCGGATGATGCACATAATTCGTTTCCAGTTACTTGATATTGATAGTAGTCAGGACAGTGATTGGTATTATTAAGTGTGTGAATTGTTGCGCGACATTCCACCTATGGCTATGTCTCCCGTGCATGATGAACAAGCTCAATGTGAACACGATAGACCTGTGTCTGCAGTAGATTCTGACAATAATTCTGATGTTGATAATAATGCTGGCCTGTTGGATCGTAAAAGACGTAGGCAATTCCTGAGTCCCGAACGTGTAGATCTACTTACTGAATATAGGGATAATGATATGGGTCTTGGGGTGAAAGTGAAAACAAGGTATTGCAATCCGCACGTGGTCATGGCAGCGGGAGACGTGATGCGCGTGTTCGTGGTGGCATTGCTCATGGCTGCTATTGATATTTTTGTTCATTTTATATATCTTTATCAAAATCCAGTGAAAAAAACAATATCTCATAAGTATTTCATAGAGAAAAATTCGTTTTCGTGTTAGCTTTAGTGAAAAATGATAAATCCAAAATGGCCGCCATGACGTCACGTGACTACATTATTATGCAAATTTCCAAAATTCTATTTTTATACGCCCCACATTGAAATGTCGTTGTCCCTGTCCGTCGGTCTGGCGTCCACAATTGCTTGTGGACGCTCTAGAGGCTAAAGTTAATATCCGATTGACTTTAAATTTATACACAGTGTTTAAGGTCATGAGATGAAGAAGCCTATTGATTTTCAGCAAATTTCCGATAATTACTGCCAGAGTTATGGCCCTTGATCACTTCAAAAAATCTTGTGGACACTCTAGAGGCTAAAGTTAATATCCGATTGACTTTAAATTTATACACAGTGTTTAAGGTCATGAGACGAAGAATCCTATTGATCTTCAGCGATTTCCGATAATTACTGCCAGAGTTATGGCCCTTGATCACTTCAAAAAATCTTGTGGACGCTCTAGAGGTCAAAGTTAATATCAGATTGACTTTAAATTTATACACAGTGTTTAAGGTCATAAGACGAAGAATCCTATTGATCTTCAGCGATTTCCGATAATTACTGCCAGAGTTATGGGCCTTGATCACTTCAAAAAATCTTGTGGACGCTCTAGAGGTCAAAGTTGATATCCGATTAACTTTAAATTTATACACAGTGTTTAAGGTCATGAGACGAAGAAGCCTATTGATTTTCAACGATTTCCGAGAATTATTGCCAAAGTTATGGCCCTTGATCACTTTGAAAAATCTTGTGACGTTCTAGAGGCTAAAGTTATCATCCGATTGACTTCAGATTGATAATTACTTAATGAGTTGTTACTCTTAATCAGATTTTAGTGTATTATAAATGTTTCATTACCAAAAAAAGTAAAAATATGCGACAATACTTGTTGACTGTCCGGACGATTTATCTGCTGTGGGCGTATGTTTCGTTGCCTGGCAACCTATCTTTTCCTCTTAGCCCAACCTCATGCCCATCCCACCAGACAAAAAGCTTTTTCATAAAAGCTTCCATAAGAACTGTTTGGCATTCAGTTCCAAACCCCCTTTTTTCCTCAAAAAAAGGGTCTAGCACAGGCAGTGGATTTACGTCTACCATTGAAAGGGTTAAGCTAGAATGTTCAAACTTGGTGTAGGTGTTTATTAGGTCAATGGGTTGATGGAGTTCGAAGATGAGCATTTTCTGCTTAGGTTAAGTAGAGATAAGCAAAATTGATTGGTTGATGCTTTTGGACACGATAATTTTAGTTTTAATTAAGTGAGAGTGATCAAATTTGTTGTTTAGTTTCATTACATGAATACCTTGACTAAGTAAGGAGCATTTTCTGCTCAGGGAAAGCAGAGCGATAGGCAGTTTGATTGGTCGAGACTTTGGAACACAATAACTCTTCCTTCGAATTGAGCTAGAATGTTCACACTTGGCGTAGGTGTTTATTACGTGAATGCCTTGATGGAGTTCGAAGATGAGAATTCTCTGCTTAGGGTAAGCAGAGATAAGCAATTTGATTGGTTGATGCTTTGGGATACCATAATTTTAGTTCTAATTAAGTTCAATCTTGGTGTAAGCGTTCATTAGGTGAATGCCTTGATGGAGTTCGATGATAAATATTGTCTGCTGACCGTAAGCAGAGATGAGCAATCTGGTTGGTGTTTTGGGGCACGATAACTTTGGTTTTAATAAGTGAGAGTGATGAAACTCTGACTAAGTTCGATGGTGAGAATTTTCTGCTTAGGTTAAGGAGCAATAAGCAATTTGATTGGTCAAGACTTTGGAACATAACAACTCTGCTTTTAATTGAGGTAGAATGTTTAAACTTGATGTAGATGTTTATTAGGTGAATGTCTTGACTGAAATCAATGATTAACATTTCGAGCTAGAGCTAAGCAGAGGTAAGCAATTTCATTGGCTGATGTTTTGGGACAAGATAACTTTGATTCTATTTGATAGAGAGTTATGAAACTTTGTGTATACACATGTAGTTGATAATCAGTTTGATTGCTTATACTTTTGAAAAAAAATAAATGTGTGATTAATTAAACATACAATATGCAAGAGCTAAATCTATCTATTGCAGGTCTTTCTTTAGGCCTGAAATGTTATCTAAATTATTAATTAGATATTAATTAACCTATCCAGACAATAATCAACTCTAGATGGCATCGCTAGCCTGCGATCTTTAGTGGATTATGAGCCGATTTACTGCATAACTTTCCTTCACGATTTAACGATTAAATGGATAATCAAGACTATGCTGTTTATCGTACTGACTTTAGTAATGATGATCAAGGCTAGCCTGAAATTTCAATCGCTTAGTTCTCATTTCATAGTGGATCAATTTGAATAAAATTTTCAGCAAATTGCCTTTACATTATCTAGTTTTTAACTATTATAGTGAGAACTGCAAACTCCCATAATGTATCTTTAATACGTGTCATCTATTTATTTTGGGATTTCGTCGGGGGACATCAGCCTCATTATTGTTGGCTTGTTTCCCTTCCAATTTGTTTAATTGATAATGTGCCAAGTTTTGATCTGTTAATCATAGAGTTTATATAGAATATATAGAACAATATTTTCTTTTAAAATTACTGATCCATTTGATGTATGATTTTATGTTTTATCTTTTAAATAGTGCCTTATAAAGAAAATGTACAGAAAAGAGCAGGAAGAATAATAGATGATTTCAAAGATCTAGTATTCCCTGCGGATTATGTTCCAGTAGCAAAACGGAAGGTATACTGAGTAGGGCTGTGTCGATACAGTTCATTTTCGATACGATACGTATTGACGATACGACAACCCGATACGTGATACGTATCGCGATATGATGACATCACGAATTATGCCCAAAATAATCTCAAACTACATTCTGTTTCAATGTGTTTGAGATGGGTAAGCATCAGGGTTCTTAATCCATTTTGAAACAAACCGGCCACAATTGGGTCAATTGAGGTCCTGTAAGATATGGGTTAATTATAAGCTCCATTCCCTTTAATATAACTAGACTTCAACAAAAATAATTCTTGGTAATTTGTTGTGGAGAATGTCGTATTTTAATGTATGTGATTACCACAAAAATAACGACAGGTACACCTTTTGAAAATTTTCCATATTTAATTCACGTACCATCAAAATCATAACGGTAAGCGCTATTTAGAACTGGTTTATTGACCTAATTCGAAGCGATATGTCACGTGTCATTGGAATTCTATAAGGAAAATATATTATTAAATGACTGTATCCCGATGTATTCGGTGTTCTATTAGGGGATTATATTCAATGAAGATTTAAATTTACCTAACAACTGGTCAGTGAATCCATCAATGTATGATCCAGTTATTATTTTAATATCTACCTGTACCTGGAATTCATACGGAGCGTGGAAGACGCTCGATTGGCAAACCATGCCGAGATCGTCTTCTTTTGCCACGTGGGTTTCGTGGTCTTTCTTAACTGAAGAATTTTTTCAACGATACGGCTATATTACGTATCGATATAAATATTGCTGGAACGTATCGATACATATCGGTGTATTGATATATCGACACAGCCCTAATACTGAGACAGTTTCTAGATGATGTATTAAATTTTCAAACTCATTTTAACCTTACATTAATGGATTTATTGATTTTAATATATCAGGCACCTTCAAGTGAATCAGCAGCTGCAAAAAAATCGAAGGTAGCAGATGCTGTGGTAGCTTTAGATATAAAGAAAGAAGCTCAAGAGGGAAGGGTAATGATATACTAATAAAGTATTTTTTATACGCCCACATTTTCATGTGGACTTATTATGCCATGTCCGTCTGGACGTCCGCCCACGATTTGTTTGTGGACACAATTTTTATCCGATTTTGACGAAACTTGAAATATAGGTCTATCTTCTAAAGATATCGGTCCCTTTCGATATTTGCATGTATAAGACCATAATTTCATGGATTATGGCCCCTGATTGTACGAAAAATTACGGTTGTAGCGCATATCGGATCGTAACGTCCTGAATTATTATCCTTGATGGTACGAAAAATCGCATTTTTAGCTTGTAGTCCCTCTACAGGTCACAATTTTTTTATCCGATTTAAACAAAACGTTTGAATATATCACCATTACACCCTAATGATGATTGAGTTCGAATTTCGTGAAAATCGTACCAAAACTACCAGACTAAATTCTCAGCCATAATTGTTAACATAAGATCGTTTTAATGATTTTTTTTTAGAATAGTTGAATATAAACTTACATTTCAAGTTTCAACAAAATCGGATAAAAATTGTGACCTCTATAGTGTCCACAAGCTAAAAACGTGATTTTTCGTACAAACAGGGGCCATAATCCATGAAGTTTCAATCCAATACATGCCAATATCGAAAGGAACCGACATCTTTTGGAGATAAACCCATATTTCAAGTTTCGTCAAAATTGGATAAGAATTGTGACCTGTAGAGTGTCCACAAACAAATTGTGGACGGACGGACAGGGGCGACGACAATATACGTCCACATGAAAATGTAGGCGTATAAAAACTATAATCAGAAAAAAACGATAAGGGTATCCGTGTTACCGTATCAGTTGTTTGTAATGTTATTATATTGTTCGTTAAATCATGCAAAGTGAAAAATTAACTGTTTTTAAACAATGATAGTTAATTTTTATTTGCCAGTGTGACAGTTTGAATTGACTCCCGGTGTGTGTTTGCTCCTGGGCACTTGCGCATGTCCGAAACTGTTGTTAGCGTTAACAACGAAACTATATCTACTTCCGGTATTGTGAGATGGTTCCTGATCACTGATCAGTTCAGGGAAAAGTTTACGTATTTGGTTAGAGTTTTGTCATGAAAAAACGTACTTATTATCGTGATTAGCTGTTGTTTTAGTGATCAGTAGTTACACGATCAACAGATCTAAGTTGATTGGCTTGAAACTAATACTTCTATCGTTCGTAATTTGTTGCGGTTGTGTTTTTTTTTATAGTGATTACGTTACACTTTTTGAGGTGTTAACTATGTTTTAATAATTAAAAATTTTGCAGATTGAATATTGGCCTTTATATGATTGGGATTTCTCTGTATCACTGTTATTTTAATTTTGTACTTCTTATTAAAATTTTTACAACTTCACAATATAGCCTTTCTGTTTATTACTCATATTAGGGTTTCAGGTCACGTGACTATAGCGTGAAATCTGACAGTCAGCGGCTGGAATATAGTCCACTTCAAAATACGATTCTGAATTACTATTTTATTTAAATGTATTACTAGCAATTGTATTGTAATAGTTTAATATCATTCTCAATGTCTGCAGAGATTAAGGCTAAAAAATTATCGAAAAATAAGCGAAATTACCGTTTTTGTACGGGAGACACTCGCGGGAAAATACCGCTCTGATTTTCCATCAACACGAATTGCTACGACTCACTTTATTAGTGAATCAGCGCCTTAGTCAATTTGTATTTCTACTTTTTATCGATATAAACAAACAATAGAAACTCGACACCTTCTCCTGATATTAATACTGTAAATATTGGTAGATAATAGTGTAGAAACCGATTTGACCATCAGAAAATCTTAGGGGAAATCCTATCACGGGGGAGTCAATGCACACAACTGCGCATGCGCTTAACGGTAATCACACACCAGGAACCATCTCAAACTGTCACACCGGTACTAAAATTAAAACCTTTCGGAAATATAAACTGCTCCCTCTTTTTTACTGCTAGTCGCATTTTTTTTTTTTTTTTAATTTTTAAAATTCTTTGGCTTTCATAATTTTTTTTAATATCTCTCTGAATTTTATATATTATTTTTTATGTTCATTCATTTTTGTGCCATACCACTAATAGAACTCCCAGCAGCAGTAGCATTCATCCTACTTTATTGGAAGTGGAAACATTTTCCTGGCAAAAATTACAATACTGGTCCACCGTAATTGAAATTATTTTCAATCAAACAAAACTGTTGATCAAATTTATTCTGAAATTTTGGACGATTCAATTTTGATATTATTGACATTAGAAAGTTCCATCAGTCAAACATAACTGTTGATCAAATTTATTCTGACATTTTGGACTATTTAGGGTTTCAAACTGCATAGCTTGTGTGAAACACTATTGTTTTTGTTAAGATTATTATTCTTCTTCTTATTAGGCTTTCAGACTTTGTCTGAAAGACTGTTGTTTTTACTAAAATTATTATTTTTTTTTTTAGCTGGAGCCTATTTCTCAGTGCCTGTAACAGATACCGATATGGGACCTAATTTTCTATTGGGAAACCATGTGGTGGCTACTTGATAAACTATTTTTGAAACTTCTGCACAGACCGGAAGTGGTTGAATTTGGTGCGGCACCAAAAAATTAAAAACGGCTGTAGCTTCGTCAATTCTGTACCTATTTTCATACAAATGACATTTTCAGAAACCCTGAGTCTTTTGTCGGACGATAGCAGTTGAAAATTTTGAAATTTCGAAACTTCGTCGCTGACTTCTAGCGTTCGAAAAATGAAAAATTTTGTTCAACAGACAATTTTTGTTAGTTTTCAAAATTTTCAAATTTGACCTACATTTTTGGATACCTGAAGACCATCCGATTCTAGAAATATAAGTTTCATTCCAAGTTATCGCCCTTTATTTTTCGATTTTTTTCGAATTTTCTGCCCATTTCCCAACCCTTATATTTTTGGGAAAGGATAAATCGATATTTCTGAAAGTCCTGGAACATAAAGCTATATAGTCAGACCGCTGGATAAAGCAATTTCAACAACGGTCCGGAAACCGGAAGTAGTCGAAATAATGTCCGATATTTCGGAAAAAAATCAAAAAATGGGTGTTTTGGGGAAAAACTCGATTTCTCCGTCCAATATCAATGGATTAAACGAATTAAGCTTTCGTTGAGTGGCCTGAGGAATGGACTGTCGTATGATGCCCAATTTATACGGATACTATGACCAAGCAGCAAAATATGAGAAGCTGAAAATCAAGTATTTTCTGATTTGGGGCGTTTTTGGGCGCCTGTATCTCGAAATCTTAACCGCAACTTTTTTTTTAACTTTCTCTATCGAGAGTCCATTCGATAGTCTTGTGAATTATGCCATCCAATAAGACTTTGAAATGTCTGGAATACGATAAAAAAAAGGGACTGAAAATCGAAAAAAGGCGAAAAATCGTGAAATTTTGCAAAATGCTCTATTACTTTATTATTTAAACAAATTTTTACAAAAAGATTACAGATTCGGATAGCTGACCTAATTACGATTCTAACGATGTATAATATGTATTGAGTTATTGAAATTTAATTTTCGATATTTTGACATTTTTGCATTTTTGGCACCTTTGAACATAGGATTTCTCAGGGTCATTTTATCTGATCAGATAATGTAATATATCATTACAGAGCCCTGCCGCTATTTAATTGCCCAAACTGGTTATTAAAACTATTCCGACAATAATCTCCATACCGGAAGTATTCAAAAAATGAAAAAAAAAGTTTAAAAAATTGTCGCTCTTGCGAAAAGCTGGATTTCTCGGTCAGATATTACCGGACCAAAAGAAGTAAAGTGTCTTTGGATAGCCCCATTAATGGACTATTATATGGCATCTCAATGGTACGATTTCGATGGTTAGAAAATAAATTGTGGTACGCCGAAAATCTAGTACCGGTATTTTCCGGTTTTGGAGTCATTTTAAGACGTCTTTTTCTCGAAAACGACAACTCCGATTTTTCTGAAACTTTTTTAACGCAGAGTCCTATGGGTGGGCTATGGCGTGAGTCCAACAATAAAAGCATTGAAATAACATAAGTTGTCCAAAAAGAGCCTCAATCTTAGAAAAAAGTTGAAAAATCCTTAGATTACTGAAAATGATCTTCTAATTTTCTTTCTTTGGAAAACAGCTGAATGGATTATTCTGAAACTTCTTGTACAGAAGGGAAGGTAACCAAACAACTTGTTAAAGCTATCCAGACAATGATCCAAAAAACGGAAGTAGTCGAAAAAATTTCGGATATTTTGAGAAAAAAAAAACGTAAAAATTAAAAAAATGGAGATCTTGCGAAAAAAGTGATTACTACGCCAGATTTCACCGAATCAAAACAACTAAAGTGTCATTGGATAGTTTGAACAATGGACAATCTTATGAGATCTAAATGGTAAAAATTCGTGGGTTAGGCAATATATAATGGAACGCTGAAAATCTATTATTTTCCTTTTTGGAGCCTATTCAGACGCTTTTATTTCGAAAACTTCTCTTATTTCCTTTCTTAAACTTCTGTTACTTAGAGTCCTAACGGTGGTCTATGGTGTGAATCCAAATTTAAAAGCCTCAATATAGTATAAATGGTCCAAAAGGGCCACAATCTTTGAAAAGAAGTCGAAAAATCGTTATATCTGTAAATCTGCTTCTAATGGTATAAGGGAGGTAAAACTGTCCAATGGATCTTTCTGAAACTTCTGGTACAGGAAATTAAGTTCCCATACCACATGTTAAATCTATCCCGATAATGATCCGTAAACAGGAAGTAGTCAAATAAATATTCAATATTTAAAAAAAAAAAAGACAGTAAAAAAAATCGGTGCTCTTGCAACAATCGGGATTTCACCGTCGGGTGTGACCGGATCAAAACATCTAAAGTATCGTTTGGTAGCTCGATAAATGGGCTATTGTTTTGACACACTTCCTGTCTGATTCCTGAAATTACTAAAATTATTATTATTATTATTATTATTTACCGCGGGAGCCTATTTCTCCA